GGATTATGCCGTCGTAGGCTCAATCTACGATGAGAAAGTTGGAAGGGTAAAAGGTGGTTTGGAAACAAGGAGTCGGATTTTTGTCGAAGATTCGATCTCCGATGCGGTTGTCGCTTCCTGACGTTCAACTGGAATGTCACTGAAAGATGACTCGGCTTTTAATTTTACTTTTTTTTGTGCTTTATAACTTCGATTGGAGGATGGGGAGGCAAGGTAAAAGTTTTGCCTTTACATTTTGAACCAAACTCATGTTTGGTATTTTGATTAAAATGACTGCCTGGAGTGCTGGAGCGAAATGTATTGTTATTCCGTTGGCAGTCAAGCAGTGCTTAGTATTTATGTCCTTTCAAGTGAGTTCACAAAACATACCTTGTTTTTTCCGGAATAGTCCAAGAAGTAATTTTAGCTTAATTGATACTGCTGGCCGAAATTTCAAGCTAGGCCATATTTATATTTTCAAAAAAAAAAAAAAAAAAAACTAAAAATTTTCGATTTTTGATTTGTTACGCAGTGCGAAGCGAATATCATAGGATCAACTTTGAATAAGATGTGTTTCTTGTCGGCACTTCACTGCGTGCACACATTTTCTACAACAGCGGTACTTTTCTAGGATGAATCCAACATTTTTGACAACCACGGATCCTTCAGCAAGCAGCCGCTTATTTGCAATGCACAGTAGTTTTTCTTCTGCTGGCGATGACCACCCAGTAATGGCGACCACTGAGGCCATATTTACGAGTAGTCCGAATATCTTTTCCACTCCGTCGGTGCCAAAAAGCAATGCAATTTCTTATTCAAAGAAAAACGGCAGTATTGCAAATGTTGATCCGGATTCTGAGATTAATCCGATGGAGGCTTTCGGGCTCACAAAATTAGTGCGAACAACGGATGCTGAAGATTTGGCGGTGGACGCAGAGGATTCGTTTGGTCCAGAAACTTCTCGAGTATTACTGCCAAGCGCCTCTTCATTTGCAGCATTTAGCTTTACAACAACGACAACAACAACTAGGGCACCTATGATTGCGAACAGCTGGAATTTCGGAAATAATATTATTGTGTCTACTGATTACGAGGAAGAACCAAAATTAACAAATCAGGAATTGCCGAAACCCGCTTCCAGAATGCCATACAAGGAATACACGAAGCCAAGCTCGGTGGCCCAGCCAACCGTAATGCAAGGAGAATTTGGCCGTACGAAATCTGGCAGCAGTTTAGTTTATGACCCGAATCAAGTTCCGCAGCAGCTTCCACAGCAGACTGGGAAAATTTTTATCGGCAGGACTTCGTTACCGTTCTTCCCATTTCACAACCAGCCAGGTTAGCCATTTTAACTGCGTAATTGCTAGCAATCAGTGTTGTGAACAACTGCTAGTGTAGAGCTACTCTTGAAAGAAATAGGCCAATTTTACCGGTGTATTCTCTAGAAAAGCACACCCTATCGGAAAATATTACACCTGTAGTACCCTTCTGCCACTAAGGGAAGTCAAATACTATTACTGAACAACTGGATTTGGCAACTCCATAGTGTGAAGCAGCTGAATCACTCACTATTTTGGTTCCTCCGTTTTGGAATCCAGGATACCCATGAAAAAGATGGCATCTTCTTTCGATGGTGTCAAAAGGCGATTACGAGAACTCTGCGAGATGAATTATCTGGCAGATACACATATTCTTTTGGTCGGCTCCCTCATCTTTGACTTGTTCTATAAAACGTATTATTTGAGAAAGTACCCATTAATGCACTACTTGAAACGAACGCGTATTTTTTGTACTTTCGTTTATTATGCGTTTTTCCTGTGTCGCTATAGCGTTCCTGTTTCGCTATAGCGTTGCAAAAACGCACATTGTCCAGAGGTCGTCTGTGTGTGTGTGTGT